ATTGAGGTAATCCTCAGGTGGCCGAGGACGCCCCGAACGAATGCGACTCAGTTTCCCGGGGCGCCCTCGTTATGGCCGATGAGGAGGACCACGGCAGGAGTTTTAATGGGTAGTCCTCCCCCTCCAGTTATGTTGGGAAGAAAAAGCCCCACACTACCCTCCGGAAGTTGCCAACCCTGGGAGGTGTGCGTAATGCATTTCCCCTGCTATACCAAAAAAAAAAAACAGTCAACACACGTACAGAGGAAGCGGATGTGTAAAAACATTAAGGCTTCTAGCCCCTCGCATTGTCCATCTCTTTTTAATAACGTGAGAAGCAAGAAAATGCATGCTAACAATTCCTGCAACATACATTGACATAAAAATATATATCTATAAAGTATGTGTATGTGTGTGTGTGTGTGTGTGTGTGTGTGTCTGTGTGTGTGTTACACTTATAATCGATTGAACGTATTTGTAAGATATTCACTCCGACAATCAATAATTTATTGTAAATTAATCTGAATAGAAATAGGCGAAGAAATAAGTTCAGAACATTAATTGTATGTCATGTTTATTGACGATAAATTATTGATTGTTAGAATGAAAAAGGAATGCACGGAATATCTTACATATTTGTTTAATTAATTGCAAGTGTTATTTTATGGATATATATTTTTATTTTAACGTATTTCGCAAGAATTTATAATATTTGTAATATTGTATTTTCTTGCTTTTGACTTTATTAAAAAGAGAGACGATACGAGGGGCCAGAAGCCTTAATGCAATATTGGGACAGACATTATAACGATATATAAAGTCCATATTAACAAAATGTTAAGATTAGGCTCAAGATTACTTTATAAAAATGTTCAATGTAAAATTTGTAATAAACTAAAAACAAATTATGAAACTAAACAGCGACATGTAACTGAAAAATAATAATTACATGTAACTGTAAAATAATAATAACATTGCAATAATTATGTATTCCTTACTGGACAGCGAAAGTAAGAATTGGTTGTAAGTCTCTCAATCACTAATGTGTTATTGTTCACAATTATTTTTTCATAATCATGTATAATTAATTGTAGGTATTTATGTTAATAATTTTGTTAAAATTATAAGTGATATTGTTCTATTATTGTGTACATGTACACGCGTACGTATTTCGTCGGCGTTTTGAAGCATGTTGAAATGTATAGGAAAGTTAGTGCTCGCTAATGGTAAAGAAAGATATATTGACATGGCGACGTGATTGTCAATTAGCAGAAAAATTCCATAATCATTCTATTTGTTACCGCTTGCCTATAATGGAAGTAAAGTACGGACTGAAAGAAGTTTCTTACAGTCTGTACTTTACTCCTACCACAGACAAGGTCAAAAGTTTTATCTACAATGTACGGAGTAAGTCGTAAGAATTGGCTAATCATAGTCAATTATTACAATAATCGGGTTGGGTTACAACGATTGGGTATGGTAAATTGTTACGACTGACAATATATATCGTACACCATGTCTTAGGCGATAACAGACCCGAGTCACGTACGAATGGCACATTGGCAAATGTTGCGTGCTATTTATAAAATAAAAAATATTTATAACAAACATGACTCGAAATCGCTAAAGTACACTTGTAAGAAGTTCCGGGTTCTAATTTGTTCCGTGGGCAAACAATGCAAAACCGTAAAATGAACCGTGAAATGAACCTACGCAAAAAAACGCGTGAGTTACACAAAGACGGATAATCTCTCCTTGTCTCACCACAGGCGGTTTTTTGCGTGAATAGTCTTATTTCATGGCTTATTTTACGGCTTTGCATTGTTTGTCCACGGGAAAAATGAGAACTTGGAACTTTTTTCAAGTGTATTTAAACGATTTGAAGTGCTGTTTATTATAAATATCTTTTTATTTATAAATGGCTCGCAAGAATTATTAATGTGCCGTTCGTCGCTCACTCGTGCTTGTCGGCTTGTCTGTGGTGAGACAAGGAGAGATTATCTGTCTTCGTCTAACTCATGCGCTTTCTTACGTGAATATACCTTATTTCACGACTCATTTTATGGTTTTGCATTGTTTGTCCATGCAAAAAGTGAGAACTCGGAACTTTTATCGAGTGCACTAAAGCGATTTCAAGTGCTGTTTGCAATAAATATATTTTCATTCATAAATGGCATGCAAGAATTGCCAGTGTTGCGTTTGTCGCTAACTCGTGCCTGTCAACTTGTCTGTAGTAAAACAAGAAAAGATTGTCCGTCTTTGTTTAACTCACACCACACGTCACATACAGGGTTATCGAAAAGTATTGGACCCCCCTAATATCTTCAGTTAGAATGTGTTTTGGAGAAAATGTTCAATAGCAAAGTTGTATGGTTTCAAACGGGGAGTAAGATGATGACCTTGACTTTGACCTTGACCATGTCCTTCAAGGTCATTTCAAGGTCAACCTTATTTTTTTAAATAGAACCCTCTACATTTTATTGCATATTCTTATAACCTTATCTCCAGAGCTTTACAAAATGCTAGAATAAAACATTTTTTCATTAAGTACTTTTTAAATTATAAAGGTTTGAAGTTAACAATTTTTTTACACAAAATGTAAAATATCTTGTAAAATATTATTTAGTTTTCAGTAATCATAATCTTAATATTTTTGTGCGCGGAATAATGAGACCAATTAATTGGTGTAAAGAAAATACATTAATCGAAAAATGTTGGTTCCCCCTAATATTTTCAGTAAGAATGCATTTTGGAAAAATGTTCAATAGCAAAGTTATACGGTTTTAAGCGGTGGTGCTAGTAGGCTACGGCGGAATACTGTCCGAAAGTGATCGCGAGAAGCTGCTCGAATGCGTGATGTCCGAAGGCGTTAGCGGGAATCTGCCCGAAAGCGTTGGCGGGGCCGATCTTTATTCTCTCACTCTCGCAGGCACCAATGTACGAGCTCTTGAGCAAACAATACGGATCACTGATTTTAATCTTTGATGCAGTGCTGTCTTCTTCCTAGCGAGCAGCAGTCACCTCGTGGACGAAAACAAACAGCCCAAAAAATTTAAAATTTAAAAAAGTACTTAAGGAAAAAATGTTTTATTCTAACGTTTTGGAAAGCTCTCGAGATAAGCTATAAGAATATGCAATAAAATGTAGGGGGTTCTATTTAAAAAAATAAAATTGACCTTGAAATGACCTTAAAAGACATGGTCAAGGTCATCATCTTACTCCGCTTGAAACCATACAACTTTGCTATTGGACATTTTCTCCAAAATGCATTCTAACTGAAGATATTAGGGGGGTCCGATACTTTTCGATAATCCTGTATAGTACAGAAAGGAACCTATTACCGACGTATGACGTGCAGCGCCCTCATATGGCAAACCAATGAACTCAATGGAATGAGAAAATGACGTACTGTAGCATAATATTGCTGTTTACAGTCAAATTTTTTCTTGCAAAATGTGGTTATATTATTTACTCTAGTGAACTTTTGTGACATTAAACATATTGTGGGAACCTGTAAAGTATTCCGAGTTCTCGGCTTTTCGTGATGTACAATACGTGGAAGCATAATTTATACTCGTTTGATCAGCTGTTAGACCACACGTTTTCTCGCGTAGACAGGCCTCATTTCACTGCTTATTTTATGACTTTGTATGAATTGCCCAAGGAAAAGGTGAGAACTCAGAACTTTTTACAAGTATGTTGAAGTGATTTCAAGTGATGTTTGTCAAGAATATCTTTTTATTTATGCATGCAAGAATTCTTTACGTGCCGTTTCTGGCTTCTGACGTCATGAAACCAATATGGCCTCAGCAAGGGGCCATGAGCCTTAAGATAAGGCCGCTAAACTGGATAATTACCAAGTTAAGTTATGTTATTTGTGACAATGACATATACATACACACACACACACACACACACACACACTGTTCGGCAGCAAGCGCGCTCGCCCGCCCCATGGGCGGGCTCTCAGTGGGTGTATATGTTCTTATTCACTTGGAAAAAATATTATAAAAAAAGTTATTGACAAAATTCTTACAAAAAGAAATTATATCAAACGGTTTACATTAAGTGAAATTAATTTCATATACAATAAATATTATTATAACTACTTTGCACATATGAACACTACATTAGGTATCTAGTGATTTTATTTTTTGATAATTACATAGAATTAGGAAAAAATAGTTTTTAAAACCTTATTTAGTAAAAATACAAAAGTAAAAATTTTGGGAAAGGTTAAATAAAATATCACACGCACACATAAAATACTTGGCGTGCCAAAAGTGATTGCATTAATACTTTTAATACTTTTAATCTTTGAAATATGCTGTACGTAACATTAAAAAATAAGCACGCCAAGTGTTTTGTGTGTGCGTGTGAAATTTTATTTAACCTTTCCCAAAATTTTTACATTTGTATGTTTACTAAATAAGCTTTTAAAAACTATTTTTTCCTAATTCTGTGTAATTATCAGAAAATAAAATCACTAGATACCTAATGTAGTGTTTATATATGCAAAGTAGTTATAACAATATTTATTGTGTATGAAATTAATTTCACTTGGCGTAAATCGTTTGATATCACTTTTTTTATAAGAATTTTAATAACTGTTTTTATAATATTTTTTCTAAGTGAAACAAAACACGTGAACTTGGCTTCATTTTTTCTTTTTTTTTTTTAAAGAGGTAATTTTTGTACGGATATCACTTTTTTTGTATAATCCTTATTTCTTCTCTGAAAATATTACAACATAAGCAACATTAAACAAATATAATACAGTGTAATACTGTAAATTAACTTCTTAATGTAATTAGCCTTTTATATTAATTAACTTCTTGACATAACATGGCAGGCGGATTGTCACTCGGAGCTTTATCTGTGTGTGTCAGCAGAGATTCTCACGTTAAGGGGGAACACCACGGTGACGGTTTCAAAAAATCGATTTTTTTTTTGCATTTTTGTGATGTTTGGAGTCTTAAAAATATGTCCCTATAATATTATGGTGAAATTCGTAACGGAACTATAGTAAATATGTCATAGAGTAGAACTTGGTCAGATGCCGCTAGTAGAACCGGCCGCGCGCTACCTGAAAAGATTCGGCAGTCCCCTTGATCTGTCTGTAGGGAGTTTTACCGGTATTCTTTTGTTGTCTACGTGCTTGAGTTCTGTTGTATAGTATGTACATATGTTTTTGTGACGACCGTTAAGCGTGTAAAAGTAGTCTTTCGGCAACCTTCGAGGCGCAAGGTTCGTAGCAAACGTTGATTTGAAAATCTAAGAGTTATTTGGTTATTTATTTAGTTTATTAGAGATATTCATTTTATGTTAAAGATGGATCGAAAAGGCAAGAAACAATCTAATCCGAAACCAACTAAAGACGGCAAAAAATTGAAACGTCCTCTGAATCGATTTGAAATAGAACAAAATGTAGGCGACAAAAGCACGTCATCCAAAAAATTGAAAACCGTTGATAAGGATATTGATATTGATCCAACAATATCATATAGAATTTTAAATTTTTTCTCGGTTTTTCCCGTTATGGCAGGATTTCTGTGTTGCAAAACGTGTGGAAGTGAGATAGAATTTCACGAAACAAGTAAACGTGGCCTCGGATTTAAATTAGTTATCAAATGTAAAGAATGTGATCCGAAATACATCGAATCGTGTCCTCTTATTTCTAATGCATATGAAATAAACAAAAGATTTATATTTGCAATGAGGTTATTGGGAATCGGATTGAATGGAGCAGAAAAGTTTTGCGGACTAATGGATTTGCCTCGACCTATCTTCCGTTCCTTCTATGACTCTCTCGTGAAACAAATCCACACTGCTGCAAAATCGATTTGTAATATTTCATTAAAATCTAGTGCACAAGAGGAAAAAATGAAAACTGCAGAAGCATTAAATGTTCAAGAGACTACAGAAATTACAGTATCTGGTGACGGAAGCTGGAAAAAAAGGGGCTTTAGTTCGTTGTTCGGCGTTTCATCTCTGATCGGTTATTATACAAGTAAAGTGCTCGATATAAGTGTAAAATCTTCCTTTTGTAAAGCCTGCACTTTTTGGGAAAAACGAAGCAATACTGTAGAATACGAAGAGTGGTTACAATCTCATACAGATGAATGCACGGCAAATCATGAAGGCTCCTCTGGAAAAATGGAAGTCGATGGAATTCGCGAAATGTTTCTAAGATCCGAAGATCTTCACAATGTTCGATATATAAATTATATTGGAGACGGTGACAGCAAAACTTACAAAGCAATCGTCGATTCGGTTCCGTATCCTGTTACAAAAAAAGAGTGCATTAACCACGTACAAAAAAGAATGGGCGCAAGGCTACGTAAATGTAAAAAAGAAAATAAAGGACTAGGAGGTAAAGGAAAACTTACAGCGAAATTAATTGATGATTTAAGTACTTTTTACGGACTAGCTATTCGCAGACATCAAAATTCTGTGGATGAAATGTATAAAGCAATTTGGAGTACTCTGTATCACAAGAGTTCATCTGACGACAATCCGAAACATGATTATTGCCCGGAGGGGCCAAATTCTTGGTGCACTTGGCAGCGAGCAAAAGCTGTACGACAAAGCGATTATACACACAAAACACCGCTTCCTGATGTAGTCATTGATGCAATCACTCCCATTTATAAAGATTTGAGTGATAAAAGGTTACTTGAAAAATGCTTGGGAGGTTTTACTCAAAATAATAATGAGAGTTTTAACAACATGATTTGGAGCATCGATCCAAAAACAACATCAAGTGGAGGTATAGTCGTAGAAATCGCTGCAAGCATTGCTGTTTGTATTTTTAATGATGGATACACCGATGTATTAAAAATAATGGAGCTGCTGGGAATTAGAATTGGACTGTCAGCATCACAATTTCGCGACTACAAGGACGATCAACGGCTTTCACTTGCAGACCTCCGAACGCAAGCGGCGACGCGTGAGGAAAGATTGCGAAGAAAGCAAAGCAGAAACGAAGCCGAAGAACTAGCTATTGCTTCAGAAGGCACCTCATATGCACCCGGATTGGACGCACTTTGGTTTGTTACAAAATTTTATCGTTTTATATGAACCAATTAGTTGTAAAACTTTAAACGCGTTTTTCTCGAAA